CTACATATTTGAAAAGCTTTTGACTGGTCTTTAGATTGATACATATAATGTAGGACAGTATTTTGTGATAGAAAAGAGACGAATCTTTGATCACTGTCAATATTGCATTTTTTGGGATAAATTGGTTCACACAACTTCTTTTCCTTCTTATGAAAGGTCACTCTTCACTGATATCTCTTTATTGGTGGTTCATTCATAATTTGGATTTCTGAAATTCAACCAACGTGAGGACCCGTTAAAATGAAGAGAGTGTAATACATACTGACTCACACATCGACACATCAACACAACATCCAAAGCTGCTTCTCAGTAACAGGTTCATGTTTCAACTTGAAATTAAACCCAAGTAAATGGTAGATGTTATATAATCACACCATGAGGAAAACAAAAGTCACTGTCATTGGTCGATTAGCCTCCAGAGACCCTGCACCTCTGTTACTGGTAAAAAGGTCAAGATGCATCTCACATCTTAAGTGAAGTGTTGGGATGTTCTTCAAAAAAGATCAGAAAACTGTATACCAAAGTTATTCAAGAACTGCACCTTTTCTGGTTCCAAAAGTATTCATACTGACATGTAATATTAAAACTAAACTAAAATGTCTAAGATCCAAGCACATCTATTCTGTTTTTTTACAAACATTAAAAAAACTAAACAACAACAACAGATCTCAGGACATCAGGTGAGGAGGACATCGTCTCAACAGGATTGTAGATTTCTGCATCTTCACACTATCAGTTATTGACGACTCCAGATCTGAACTGGTTCTGACCAGACGTGGTAGCAGAGTCCATCAGTGACCCACTGACTGTTGTTCTCCTGTGACCACGTTCCCACTTTGTAACGGACGTCTCTCAGGTCCTGTCAGTCCAGCTCAGTCTGTTCTCTGGACTGTTGTTCGACCCACTGTCGGTCCGTGCCTACACGCATGTGTGTGTGTGTGTGTCTGTGTGTGTGTGTCTGTGTGTGTGTGTGAGAGAGACCCTCCTGGGGTCCACTTTGACTCCTCTTTGTCTCCGGTAGGCGTGCTGTCAGAGTGTCTTTGTTATGACAGTTGGGCTCCTTTTATACAGACTAAATTACCACTCTCAGCTGTTCATTTGCAGGCCTAACCCCTGACAACCCTCATGACACCACACAGACACACACACACACACACACACACTCACACACAAACACTGGCTCCAATACGCAGTGACATCACCCACTTGTATCTCACTGTAACTCTGCTTCCAACTGAAAACACATTCAACTTGTGTGAACGTCTTCTCTGAAGGAAAAGGAGGATGAGGATGAGTTACAAAGCAGAAGAAGCAGAATTTAGGGGGCAAAGGGCATTTGACCTCTGACCCACTTGTTGTGATTGGGACACAACAGAGGGGTCAGGGGACACAATGACCCGAGGTAATCAGTAACTACACTCAAGATAGGACATAAAGAAAAGCCCAGTTTCCAGAAATATGTTTCCTAATAAAACAACAAAAAAATCAACTCTGTGCCGAGATAATTATAAGTGGATTAAATGTTTTTTTTTTATGTTCAGATTGATCTTGCCTTATTTGTTTAACTTTAACTGATTTTGAGGGATTTCAGTTTTTAGGAGAAACCTCTATGTTTGAAGGGCAGAGGTGGAACTTGCTGCTTAACACGCAGGACTTTGAGCCTTTACAATGTAGAAACTATGCTGCTTTGATAATGGACCTGGTCACATGGTCTTAGGAATGACTAAAAGAAGTCACCATCTATTTTTCATAGTCCATAGTGACATCAAAGTTGTTCAGTGAGGCTCTACAGGTAAAAACAAAAATCTCTGTGGGTGCTTCGCTGTCGGAGCACCCACCAACACCAAACATAAATCGGCGCTCCTCAACCAGGTTACCAGAAAAACATGAAGATGAAAGTCACAATATGTGCAGCTGAAAATTGAAAATCCTCAATTACTGGAAATGAAAATCTTGTGACACAAGGGGCGCGTGTGTGTGGTGTGTTTTTTTTTTTTTTTGATAAATAAATGAAAGTTCACATAAGTTGTCAATCTTCAATATAGTTATATCTAGGAAGTTTACCAACCTGATCACAGATAATGGATTTTACTTCATCAACTATGTCTAACTTAATCCAAATTAACCAAGGTACAAGTTTCTGGGTCTGACGTTACTAATCAGCGGTCAAGGTTTCTTATTTTAGACACTAGTACTGGTAAAAGCCAAAACATTTCTAATACAAACAGAGGATTATGTTTCTTTTTGACAATATCTTATGGATTTAATGACAACGACCAAAGTTTTCATTTGGACTTACATTAAGAAATCCTTATTCCTCAAAGTGATATCTACGGTCACATGGTGATGGGAACACAGACAGGGCGCCGGTGTCCTCGCGGGACACATTCATTCTCAGTCAGAGAGCCTTAGAAGACTAAAGATATGACTTAAGATGTGTTGCCCAACCGACCCCCTTCCCACATTACCATGACAACAGGAGCTGGCAGCCATGCCCAGCACAAACGCATTCTGGGAAAGCACAGGTTTTATATTGCTCCTGGCTTTACACTTCTGCTCCATCACCCTGGTAACACTTATACTGCTCGACCCACTAACATTTACTCTGGGCTGTTTGGTGTGCATGTGTGTGTGTGTGTGTGTGTATGTGTTTTTGTGAGTTACAACAAGTCTGACAAGTGTCTTCCTCTTTCTTTCTTTCCCACTGTTTTCTGAACACACTGATAAAAGGTCAGACGCTGCACTTGTAGCCTGGGGGAAAGTCTCATCTGTTGTTTGTTTTTTGTTGTTTTTTATGGCTGTGAAATGCAATTCTGTTTATATATACACAGTGGAACCTCAGTTTTTGAACTTCATTCCTTAAGGTGATGAGTTGGTCTATCTATTCAGAGGCTGCATCTCTGCCTTAACTGATCTTTTCATTCATGTCCCAAAATGGATTAGGGTATGTGACATTTCAAAATCTATTTTAATCAGGGATGTCCGATATTAACTTTGTGCCAATATCCGATATGCCAGTATTGTCCAAACAATGTATTTCCATTTCCAGTATCAACCAATACCAATTTATGGAGCCATTTTTCCCTAAAACCGTGGTAAACTTCCCAGGACTCCACAAGCAATTCCAGCATATTTCGGGAAACTCAGACATTGCATTATTGGGTTTTGATAACTGGAGGGAAAACAATAACAATTCTTACTGCATCATTAGGAAAATATCTGGCTGATAATAGTGCTCAGCTGATTATCATACATCTCTAGTTTTAACAGATTTCCTTATATTTTATTCTACTTTTTTTCAGAACTACAATATTTAGCTTATGGGCCAAAAAGATGTTTGACAAAGTGAATATGTTTAAGAAATAAACTTTTCTAATCTTTAGTTTGCTGATTGGACAATTCATAAATGAAGTAATGTACAAAAGGCCTTAGATTTCAAAAAATATATATACAAGAGTAATTCAAAATTCAAGTCAATGTTTTAAAAACTTTTCTTAATGAAAATGGAACATCAGTTTCTCTACCTGTCCTCTGCTACACTATTCTGCTTGAACTAAACTTCTACAGAGTTGTTTCTGTCAGAGATTTTCTTTTATTTATTTAAGGGGAGGTTTTTTCAGTACCCCAGGTCAGAACCTGTTTCAGTTTTGTGGACGAGATGAAAATCAGATCGGTTAGATCAAAACCCATGAAGACGCTTGACTCCTTTTATCATTTTTCAGTTTTGGTTGGTTAAAAATCTAATCTTCGCTTTGAATTCAAATCAAAGTTGTTTATTTTTGATGGTTGAATAACTTGATAAAGAAAAATGTTACACGGCTCAACTTTTGAGAAGGAAGTAATGATGAAACTTGTCGAAGCCTCTGGGGACTCCTGAGACGTCTGTCTCAACACGTTCTAGTTATTATAATCAGACGCCTTTTGAAATCACAGCACCTGTCCCACAACATACTGATGTACCCGTGTACCTCTTGGTATTGTTTTGGATAAATGCAAATAGATAACACACACACACACACACGTTCACCCAGAGACAGAGACTGGCAAAGGCTTGACGATGGAGACTGTGAGAACAAGCGTGTACGTGTTGCTTGTGAACATTATGCAAATTTGCTTAAAAGTAAATTGTTGGCAAAACCTTTTCAGATCCCAGCTCTTCCTCTTTGTCTCCTGCCTGGCAGCTCCAACTCCAGTGTCTTTCCCTCAAACCCCTCCAGTCTGAGGTTGAAAGAAAATATCAGGTTTTGAAAGAATAATTTATTTATGATCAATTATTGAACTTTCCTGAAGCGTTATAAAGAAACAAATAATACAAAATAATAATAATATATTACCCTTTACTTTTTTCTAATATAATTGTAATTATTTATAATATAATAAAACTCTATCCTAGCTTACATCCTTGTTTTTCTTTGTCACCTATGGTCTTTGCAGAGTTCGGCATCTTTTTGTTTCATTACCACCCTCTTGTGGTTGTTTTTCCTCCACAGTTGTGTCTTTATAAAGTTAGAAAACACACTTTGTGGCATAAAAACAGTGGGAGATTTGAAGGGGGAGTAGTTAGCAAATTTATGAAAAAAAATTGTTAGCTGGTTTTAGCTGCATTTTTGGTTAGTTTTATTTATTTGCCCCTGACATTGTTTTTCTTCAATATTTTGGTATTTGTTGCTAGTCTCAAATGTAGCCAAACTTTTAAATATTCATTTGAGTCAACGAGAACAAGAGAGAGAGGGGAGAGACGGGAGTGTGTGTTGGATGGAGGAGTTGACTGAGGAGGGAAATAGTGAATGACTTTTCTATTGCATCCTCCTCCGAGACCGCTAAAGCGCTCACTGATACCTGTCTAAATACACACACAGAGAGGGAGAAAAGGGGGACACGCCTCCCTCATCTCCAGAAAACTCCCACCTCACTGCCCTGTCATTCCTCTACATCCTTGCGCCGCCCCTCAGCTAAAGGCAGCACACGCACTCTCTCCTGTGGCAGACTCACCGACGGACAGTGCTGTGAGAAGTGAAGACACAGGAGCAGGAGCAGCAGTGAGAGGAGGAGTAGACTCGGCGCGTCCGCACGCGTCAAGGTAAAATCTGGAGAGAACCGAGGCGCGCAGTCGGACAGTAAGTCCTGGTAGCCGCTGGTGCAGCAGCAGCAATAACAACAACAACAACCACAAAGTGATAAGTCTTTAAGCCGTGAGTGCAACAGGAGGTGGAGGTGAAGGAGGAAGAGCCCGATCGGAGCTCCTGCAGCCGGCGGTCATCGGACTGACACTCAGCGCATCTCCAGTGGCTGGAGTGTCTGGAAGGAAAAGCGCGTGTCAGGGCGCGAGTCGGGAGAGTAAGTCCGGTTAGCCGCTGGTGCAGCAGCAGCAATAACAACAACAACAACCACAAAGTGATAAGTCTTTAAGCCGTGAGTGCAACAGGAGGTGGAGGTGAAGGAGGAAGAGCCCGATCGGAGCTCCTGCAGCCGGCGGTCATCGGACTGACACTCAGCGCATCTCCAGTGGCTGGAGTGTCTGGAAGGAAAAGCGCGTGTTCTGCTAAAAGGCTCGGGTTGATGCTGAGCTCTGACTGTCCAGTCAACACTACACTACTATTTATCATTTGATGTATGTCACTTCCTTCTGCGGCGCTCGGAGCGGCAGAGAGGACGGGACATCTCCGTGGTGGATGGACCGCGGAGCTGCGTTCTCATCCTCCGCTAACAGGATGATGGATTAAACGCTTCCTCGCGACCGGTCTGTTTCACTTCGTACTTTTCCCTCACCGTCTCGGGATTATTTGATCTCTCTGCGGCTTCCACTCCACCCCCACCATCTCGAGATGACCGAAGACTGCGTCCTGCGCTGCGTCCTGATGCTCTGCTGTGCGCTCCTCTCCGCCAACGCCAGTAACTGGTTGTAAGTCCAAATTCCACACGAGCTCTGATTTTCAAAAGATGGACCGAGTCCACATCAACCTCCCACTCACTCCTCCACCTTGTCATTCACCTGTTCCTCTCTTTTTCCTCATCCTCACACGCAGCTTCCTCCTCCTCCCCCTCTTCCTCCTCCCCCTCCTCCTCCTCTCCTGCTTTCTCTGTGCAGCCCGCGGTGGGCGCACAGGTTAATGGTTAAACCACGAGAGCACACAGAATCACTCTCTCTGTCAGCGCTGTCATTTCTCTTTCTCTCCCCCAGATTTAATAACTCACCAACTCCGCAGCACCTCCTCAAACACCACGACACAGTGGAAAAAGACACACACACACACACATACACACACTGATCCAGCGTGGATATGGTCACATTGTTAAACAATACATTTAGGGAACAAAGTCTGTATTTGTTTACATTTCCATATATATTTATCATACCTCCAAATAGACAAAAAGACAAACGGGATGTCTTGTAGACAAGTCTGTTTTCTTCTGTTGATCAGAAACTCAGAGATGCTCAGTTTAATTCATGTCACTTCCATGTACTCACAGTAGAAGATGACAGTATCTACCAGTATCAGTCATTTTCACCACCTGCTGGAAGGCAGCCTTGAACCACAACAGGGCAGCTACCATGGTTTATGTAAAAGAAAATCATGAACTCATGTTTGGAGGAACATTTGAAAACTTATTTAAATCTTGGTTCTTTAACATTCCTCAGATGAAGGACTCATAAACTGATGAAGAGATGAGGCAGTCATCATTGGCCTCTTACAATGTAAACAACTCCCTCGTTATTCTGCTAATTGATAATGCTAATATAAATGGTACACAGGATCCTGCAGTGTTTGTTTTTGTTTGTAAAATTATCCAATCAACCAAAAATCTCTGCATGCACTTTGTGCATCTCCTGCCATTTAGGTTATTTCTGGCCACATGTATGAGAATTGTGGCCCAGCTGTATCATATGAATGTATCATATGCAACAATGCAGATCATTTTTCAAGTGGTCCAATATTTAATAAAAAAAGGCTTGTGTATCAGGTGTTGTCAGGGTAAAATCTCTTACATGTACCTGCAGCTGGGCTAAGATAACAAAAAGTTGGTCTGGAGAACCAGAACGGCAGACAACCAGTGCTGCAGGCTGGTGTTGATGTAACGTGCAGTGAGGAAGAGAGGGAAATAGTGAGGCTTTAATGTGACCTAAATGAGCTGACGCTTATCTAAGTTTCTAGAGATCTGATTGGCCATTAAGACTACTGTATGATATCTACAGTATCCTATGAATATAAGAGTTCTGGTGCATGTTGTGGTGATAAGGAGCACTGAAATCATTTTGAGTATAGTGGAGGACTGTGATGCTCTCAGTCGATGTATGTCAGTTGGAATGCAAGGAAGGAAGTCGTACTCATGAATCAGCTGATTATAATTTTTGTTTTGTTTTTTGTTTAAGTGTATCTGACATGAAAACATGATTTTGTCCAAACAAAGCACCAGTCTATAAAAGACCAGATGTGGGAATGAACTGACAGGTGGCTTAAAGAGTAAGTGCACCGAGGGTCATTCATAAAACAAGTCTATAAACCTTTAGTACAAAGATGTCTCTGTCAGGTCAAAAGGTCAACAGTTCTAGTAGTAAGACCACCTTTCAAGTGAAGGTTTTAATTTGAATCTGTGTTTTTATTACATGATGTATCGCTGTTAAAACCGTAGGACACCAGTGGCGCTGGAGAACAGGTCAAAACTAACGGCACTACTGCAGAGGATCGTTGTATGAGACGGAGCTTCTCAGCAGGAGGTTGACCTTTCAGGACAAAATTGACGATTGAATGTACCAAACACAACTGTCTGAGCCGTAAAAACAAACAAACAAAGAAACGGTTCTATTCAGACCCACAGAGGATAATTATGAATCTGCTGAAGAACACAGTGCCACCTCCTCCTGGGGCTGGTTGGGTGGGTCGCATGTGTGTGCCTGCTCCCTCAGCAGCTGTGGGAGGTGGCCAGGTGGGTTTCTGCATTCCTCCACAGGCTGCACTCCATTTTATGCTGCCATTCAGTTCTCAGTGCTCCAGCAAATTTAGGAGCGGAGCTCGTCATATTAGCAGAGGGAAGACCCTACCTCACATTCACAGGCTCATAGCTGGTGTAATGTTACTGACTGACTCTGGTTTACCTTTTCTCAGGTGTTTCTGTAGCCTCGTCACATTATGCTTTACCATCTCTAATCATTTTCAACCAGAATCGGGACACTGTCGTATCCCAGCCTTCTGTGTTTATATCAGCTGAGATCAGCGCCACCAACAGCCAAACTGACAGAATGACAGATTAATCAGAATAGGTCAGAATGAGGACATTGCAACAGCACTGCCTGTCCTCACTGAGGCAAGTGTGTGTGTTTGGGCCTGAAGGCGTGGTGACAGCAGTACAGAGCAGACATGTACAGGCAGGCTGCCGATCTGCCAGTCCGCTCTACCATGTTGTACGGCGGAGGACACATGCGTGTGTGTGTGTGTGTGTGTGTGTGTGTGTGTGGTTGTTTACAGTGCATATCAACAATTAGGTCTCAGCCCATACACCAGCTGTAGTAAAACTACTGGGTGGTAGTAGGAGAAAGAGTAAAACTGCAGTATGCAAAGTACCCATAAACTAAACTAGGGGTTCCCAAACTTTTCCATGTTAAGGCCCCGAAAACAGATAACAGCCAGGTTTACACAGATCATAACTTTTGAATCCAATACGGCAGTTTACATGTTCAGGACGAATGGCTATTATTATTAGATCTTTTGTTTCATTTTTTTATTCTTCCAATTTTCTTAGGCACCCTTAGCGCCCACTAGTGGCCCCCACTTTCAAAACTACTGAACCTAACTACACTAGAGTAACCTTTTACTCTGATGTCATTGTTGCTGGGAGTAAATTTGAGTACATATGCCACAGCTCATGTCAGCCTTAGAGCTTCTGAAATAAGCCATAATCAAAGAGAGACATACTGTAAATATGGGGTTTTTCAAAACATATATAAACGTTAAATCAGTTTAAGGAAAAACAACTTCAACATGTACTGTAACATGCCAGGCAAAGCTGTGGTTTACAGGAGAGACAGAAGAGTTTGTTGAAGGTCAAAAGGTCACTTTGTGGATCTACGTGATGGGCGTCTTGAGAAAAACTGAAGCCCTGTAAAGGGGAGTCATGATTGGCAGATAATTATTGTGCAGGAAGTTGTACACAGCTAATCTTACAGGTGTGAAGTTGTAAGAACAGATGGGTTGAGGTTTGATGATTTAGACCAAGGACATGCTTCAGACTCTTCTTGTATCTGCAAACCCAAATATCCACAGTAGATGCTCTGTGATGACTGTGAAGGGACTGGAGGTCGGAGGGAGAGAGGGATTATACTATCACTAGGTATGAGAGAGAATATCTATATCTACGTGTAGCAGAGATATAGTGTATGATGATTTCTCCAAACATCACTAGCAGTAGACACAACACACAGAGTGATGGAAGAGATATGAGCAACATATAAACTTAAGAAGGGAAACTTCTTTAGTTTATATAGGGAACGAAGTGAGAGTTGGCTGTAAAAATAAAAAAAGGAAACTAATATTGAATAACATCATTCAGGACTGAGTAAACAGGACAACGGGGGGTTGAGGGGAGTGGGATTTAACCAGAAAGGCAAGCAGCCTTAGAAGGTATTGAGGAGAGTGATCTGGTGCAACTTGGACTAGAACGAAAGGCAGGTAGAAAATATGCTAATTTTATTACTCAAGTCTAGTCACCCAGCCCCCAGTCAGTCCACTCTGCTGTGATGACCTGTTCTGGATGCAGTGTCACGGATGGCCAGCAGGGCTATCCCTGAAACATTTAATACAGGTATTTATTTAAATTTTAAATGATAACACATTTTTATTTTAATGTGTATTAAAATATTGCCCATTTTGGTGTGATTTAATGTCACTCACTGTTCTCACAGTGCGTCCAAAATGTATTTGATACTTAATAAAATGTTGGGCCTGTTTTTTTCTGAAGCACAGCTTGACTTCATTTGTTGATCTGTCTGTCATTTCCTGTTGAAGAGCTTGAAGTAAGCACCTTTCAAGTATTGGATATGACGGCAAATTCTAGTTTTTGGTTTTAAATTCAGGGCAAAAAAAAAAAAAACAATGGCAGCGTTGGCTGGCTCCAGTGTGACAGTGGCAAATCTCAGTGGCTGCTGAGTCATGTTTGACTCCGCGTTAATAAAGGATTTCCACACTACTTTTCATTAGTTTGTCTGTCATTGCCAACAGCACCCCCACCTCCGTCCCCCACTCCTACTCCCTCTCCTTCTTCTTCCTTTCCTCCTCTGACCTTGACATAACTAGTTCTGCACCTGCACGGCTCCAGCTTTTGTGTGTTTCGGGTGTGTTTTTTTTCTCTTGAGTTTGGAGTATGTAAACTGGCATACGCTCAGTAATTACCATGGTGGCTGCAGAAGAATAGAGGCCACTTACGGAGCAGCGCACACACACACCCTGTGTGTGCGCACACACACGTTCCAGCTGCAACCAACACAGACACAGCTGACAAGAATATTTTATCTGAAGGTTCCAAACGTTCTCTCCTGGACTTCTTCAGACATAATGACAAAGATTCCATCCAATTTTTAAAAAATTTAAACCATTGCTCCACTCAGCTAGCTGTTTTCCTTTGTTTCCCCTCCTCGTTGGACTTTTTTGGCTCAGGCATTTCTGTTAAGATTATTTGTGATTAAGCTATAGTAGAAATAATTAGTTGATAATTACCTGAGAAGCTGGAGGCATGTCTCAAATCATTTGCTGATTTTTTTTTCCTATTTCTCAAAAAAAGTTTTTTTTCTTTTGTGGCCCATCTTTTGTTTTCCATTTCCTAGCTTTTTATTTTTTCATAGCACTGCAACACAGAGGAAGGGTAGTTAGTACTCGTCTCACTGCAAGAACATCACCAGTCCAATCCCTG